GTGCTTAATTGTATTTGAAATACAGAAGGAGAGATACCAACTTTCCTGCTTTGGGCTGCTATGACCCACTTATGCTCTCAATAAAACTGTTAATCAACTGCCTCAGTATTACTGGATGAAAGTCCTACATGACTGGAAAAAAAAAAGAGCTGGTCTACAGCACACATTTCATCTTCACTGTGAGACCTTTGCTCCAATACAGATAATCTGAGAGAATTAGTCACAAGTATTTGATATGAAATGGCCTACTTCAAACATAACACGCACCTCATTCCCAATTGTATAGATGCAGATAAAGCTCAGGATGTAACCTAGACTACAAGTGATGAGACAGACAGCACTTCAAGCTCTGTTATTTTAAACTTTTTTACTTTACTTTTTATTTACTTTTATAATCAAGTTTGCTAGGAATGTAAATGGGACTAACATTGCATGAACTAATTGAAGGAAAACTGTTAATTTGGTAAGTTTTTTTTGTTCAGACTTTTTATCTTCTGTGACAAACTTTTCATAGCAAAATGAAGTATTTCCAATTTATTTACATCAACTGATGATATTTAAGAAACATAGGAAGATGGCAACACTAAGTATCAGGTAAGGCAAAGCTCCCACAAAGCAGACAGTTTCCATCAAGATTTTTTATATCCTGTACATAACGTTTAAGAAGTTGTCAAAAAACAAAAATAAAGAAACGCCCACTGAAATAACTTCACCAACTTGACAACATCCTTTCTAATGTTCCTACTCTTCCCTTCATTTACTTATATACTATAAGATGTTGAAGGAGTACTGAATTCTTACCAGAGTCACATTCCAGTTTGGTCCGATTCAAATCAATGCCATCATCCACAAACTGACAAATGGAAAACAGTCTGCAGCCTCGCTGGCACGCATACAGTTCCTCTTCCTGGGAAGGCACAAGAAGAGACTTGCATTCCTCCATCCAAAAATAACATGTCAAGAAACAAAGACTCCCCCCCTCCCCTCGCTTTTTTTTTTTTTTCCTCCCCCCCCCTCGGAAGCGCTCTAAAAGACCCAGAAGACAGCTAAACATGACAGTCTGGATGATATGAAACCAAACCAAATTATAGCTCTGTAACACTGTAATATAACTATTGATTTCTTTATTTCAAATAGAACTCCTTATTCTGCAGTGGGGCAGACTGAACAGCAAATACTGTTGTGTACATTCCAGCCTCCTACAACTCAGAGTAAACTTACACTGCGTTTCTGAAAAAGTGACGGTTTAAAAAATAAGAGATACTGGCTGTAAAAACCTTTCCTGACATACTCCAATAGCCTTCATTTAGTCATACAAGAAGTTGACACTCCTCCCCCTCAAAAGTTTAATATCAGAACCCAACAGGTGAGGAGCAAAACAAAGACATATTTTGACAACACATCACAATATAGTTACTGTACACTAATTAGAACTATGACAGTTGTCAAAGTAGAAGGTTATCTTCTATACCAGTACCCCGGTTAACCGGTTACTTGCCAAACTAGTTCCATAAACATGTATTTTTATTTATTATATCAAACTGAAGGGGAAAGTAATCCCTTATGGTAACTATAAAAAACATTGAGATTATGCCAGTACAGAAAAACTATACCCAGTATTTCCTCTATCCACCATATCAAAGGCAGGGACGCGCACTTCCCACACATGGTGCTCCTCACGCTGCAGAACTAATGACTGCCTGCTTTATGTGAGCACTCTTATTAGCGATCACTCAGCAAAATCAAATCCATCAAATCCATTACCTACGTAACCACTCAAATGATTGCAGCCAGTTGCTTCACACACGGAAAAAAACTCTGAATTCATAGAAGAGAAGACAAACATACCACACCTCACTGTGCAATCCACTGTAAATGAACTGGCCATTGTGCTTCTCTGAAAGCACAAGTTCGCATGCTTTTTAATTTACAAAAGTAGAAAATGGAACATAGATTCAAACTTAGCCATGTTATCAGTGTTGTTAGAGTTAAGATAGTTATGTTGTTCCAGAAAACGTTATGTACATTGATATCCACACTGAATTAACTTTAGCAGACATGTTTCTATTGCACTCTTGCACACAGGTCTCAATGTTTGTCTTGCTTTTCAATGGCAATTAAAACAATTTCCTCCAATTTAACCGGTAGCTTTGTGACAAACGGAACAAAGACTAAATGAAATGGAAGAGATGGCTGTATCATTCGACAGCTCCAACAGCACAACAGAAAGAGTTTGAAAAGTACTGCAAAAAAAAAAAATCACAGCAATAATCAGTTTTTCTTGAACTTGAAAGGGTCCTATAACAAAAACAAGAAAATTACTCTAAAATAACATGGAAATATTTTAGGATAACGTTTAGTCCTAAATAAATTCTCAGGTTTTGTTCTTTCTCCTCACTGTCACTGTACATAGGCACCAAAACACATCATATGTGCAGATCCAAATTTACTGTTATTCCACACAATTCCCTGTTATTTCCCTCTGTGGAAATACCAGTATCAGCTACCAAGTCACAAAACCCAATTCAGAGTTTCATATGAAAACAAAGACCTATTACCTGATACTAGTGCTACCATCTTTTTGCCGTATTACCGCCTGCTGCCTTCACGTGAAACCTCAAAGGTGGTATAAAAGTTCCCATAACCTAGGATTCAACCTGCTCAATAGCTGCAATAGATAAAAAGATATTTTGCCAAGAAAGAACCACGAAAAATGAGATTTTGAAACGGGTAATGGATTTTCCAAATTCAAACCAGCAGCTCAGAACTGTACAAAGCTTTGAACTGACAGTGAACTCTGGAGTGGGAAATTATATTGCCCTTCGAGGCTATTTCTCCAGGCTCTTTTTCATAAGAGGGAAAATTCCCTGGGCAAGTGAATCCAAAATACAGGGTCTGTCAAGCTACTCATCTGCCATCTTTTATGCTCCATCCTCCAAAACTCAAGTGTTGCACTGATGTCCTGGCTCAGGATCCTTAGCCTGTCTTGGACACTGTCCTGTTTTAGTGCTCTAAGACATAGGGCAGCCTAAGTCAAATGAGGAGTCACCTCTTTAGAAACAGCACGGGAAAAAAAAAAAAGAAGAAGAAAAAACAAGGACCCCAAACCCACAAGTTAACCAAACTGTTCTTTGAAAGAGGTATTTCAGACCCTGCGGCGTCTCTTCGGCTAGCAGCGCGCTAAGCACGTATTTCCGAGGAGAAACACGTATCATCCGGGAAAGCCACAGCATCCCCTGCTTCGAGGGGTCGAGCACCTCAGCCGGACGGCACAGACACCCCAAAACCAAGCAGCACGCCGACCGGAGCCGAGCACGCCCGCACCGCGGGCTGCCCCCACGCTC